TAGATTATTGTCGGAAATATTCTACGGAATGGCAAACATACATGCAGCATTGTTATTTACGAATATACAAAAATCGAGCCAATTAAATATATGCCAATTATTTGATAAAGGAAATTTTTGAAAGTAAATTTCGTGATGACCAATATTGATTATTGTTATTAGATTCAATACATAGCCGCTGGGGCCTAGTAATTATATAAATGACCCGTCCACATTAGCTAGTCTGTAATTCGCTTCCCCGTCTCATTTCGATCCCATCCACAATGCCGCAAACACAACAGCAAAACAATGAAAATAAACCATTTTCTCCGGACGAAGTCACAGTCGTAGACTTTGTTGGAGGTGTTATTTTAATAAAACATTTAGATAATCAATTAGTGTATGCCATACCTTCCATAGACGAACTATTTCAAAAGTGCGGGGGAAAAATCTAGGCAATATTCAGCTTTTATGGCCTTCCGCTGTATTCTCTCGCCCAACTTTCGTTTCAAATATGGAGACGCTAGCATATTTTTTGGAAAACTATGGGCCAAAAAAACACCAACGCTGAAGACAGAAATGACTCGTATAGGCAATATAGTAAAGTCGAAAATGAAAGAAAACTGTCTGGTGTTTAAACCTTATGTTCGGAATGGTCAAAGCAGCACGAATAATGATGTGGCAAATATTAATACTGATGCGAACAGAATAACTGCTCGTGACGTTTTTATTACCGATCCCGAATCTTCTAATGAAGTTAATACTCACGTCGATTATAATGGTGACATGTACGCTCCATTTGATCCAATTGACCCAGCTAGTTATCTGATTCCAAATAATATGTACAGTCCAGCTGTTGGCACATACTCTTCTCTTAGTTATGATGATGGTACTATTATCGGAAATGTGGCCGGTGTTCATGATCTAGATGCTATTTATGTTGGTGAAAGTTTTGACTACAATAACGATTTCTATCCATATAGTAGTAGTAGTGGTAGTAGCAATTATAGTATGGAACTGAATGTGGATTACCAACAAGATTGATTGACGTGCAATTCGAGCATCACACACACAATCCAGATACGTTCAACGATGTGGTCAATATAATTGACCCACATAGCTTTATGCATTTAACATGTAGTTTCGAGTCAGCGCGGGGACATTGAATATTGAATCAACAAATTTCTCATAAAGTGGTTTGTTTTTTGTAAGATGTAAACTTACTTTTAATAGGTTTTGAATATGCTAAGATAATAAGATATAGAGAATCATATGAATAGAGATTGTAATATAATACTAAGAGCATATAATAATGAATAATACTTGATCAA